CCTAAAATTACATTCGGCCCTTTGAAGGCAACCTCGAGGCTGATGTGGCCCCCGTGAAAACGAGTTTGACACCCCTGACCTAGAGGAATCCCAGGGAGGGAATCCAAGGGTCTTTGGGAAAGGGGAGCTCCATTAGACATAAGCAAAGGGGATGGTGATAGCAACTGACTCTGAGCACAGATGGCTGCACTTCCCCATTCTACCCCATTGCTACACCCCCACCCTTCCTAACTGGAAGGGGCTATCACCTCAGCTCTGGGCAGCAGGAAAGAAGTTGCCCTCTGAGAGGGAGAGAGCAATAGGAGGGGGTATAGCCCAGGGAAAAATGAGTGGGGTACCCATCCCTAGTGGGAACAAAAGATAGAAGAGTTTCTAGCCATATCAGGCTAGTCTTATGACTATACCATACTAGTTAGGGGACCCAGGATTTACAGGGCTCTAGACACTTGTGTTTCAGGATAAGTATCCAGTCGGTCCATGGAGAAGCCATTGGTAGACAGCAGCTGTCTCTGAAGGAAGGCCGGGGGGCCCGAAGGACCTCCGAGTAGAGGCTAAATAAGCCATATATTAGGAAAAGTGCCAATCCAAGAATGAAGAAGTCTGCCCCATGGAGGTGCTTCCCTCACAGGCTTCTCCACAGGCCTCTGGCAGTGATCAACACCTCCCCCTGGCCCCAAATGTCCCACCTCTCCACGGATAATCTTAGATTCTAAGTGAAAACACTGTGTCATTTCATGACACGTCATCTAGACTGCTACTCTAGATAGCTGACCCTACATAGGTCATCGTGGAGCTGCTGCTGGCCTTGTCGTCTTCTGGAGGACCCAGAGAGAGGGTGCTGTGAGTTTGTTAGTGTGTTGCAAGTGGGAAATCTCTCTCCTATTGTAGTGAAGGACAGTCTGAGACTTCTGGCCTGATGTGGTACCAGCTATGGCTGAAAGGAGGAGGAGAGGACCCTGGAGGGGAAGACAGCAACAGAAAAGTGCTGTGGAATGCAACGGGTCGGGGAAAAGACTTCTTCGCAGTGACCTAATGGTCTTCCATCTTCAGGATGGACATTATAGATCATGGAGAAGTTAAAGCCAGATCTGGTTTAAAGAAAAAAAGGATTTCCGATGGAGAGGTAGGAACCAGATCCTGCAACAAGTCACCTCTTTTGGAGAGGGAAAAGTGGTGTTTTGGTTTGTTTGTTTGTTTTATTTTTATGTTTGTTCTTATTTATTTAGAACTCTGAAAATAGCTCATTTCCGACTGGACTGAGACCTAGAGGTGGAAGCTTTCAGGGAGGACAGCCCACGTCTCTCGGCAATCTGTTCCTGGCCATTTTCTTTGGTCTCCTTCATTCTTTCAGCCAAAAGTGTAGCCTATTCTGCAGCCTTGTTTCTTCAGAGCAATATGCCGATGTTTATGTTGCAGGACATGTGGAGTAATAAGACACTGAATCTCGGGTGCTTTGGTCCTAGCTTTCTTACTTTTTTTATTTGGGGACTTCCCCACAACTTATTGGCACACATCATCTTTAGAGAGAATGAAAAGTCTGCACACTCTGCTAGCTCTTTTGGGCCCTAGGCAACAAGGCGCGGTAGTGGCAGTGAATATTTTTCCCCTTATTTTTTACAATGACCAAGTTGAGAACACTGAGACTGGCATCCACCATGCAATCCCAAACAGATTTGCTCTTTCTCTCTCCAATTCACCTTCATCTATAGCAGGAATGCCCCTTACTCTGCAGCTGGCAGGCAAGGCCGTGAGGCAAGACACCCTGCTTCATGGGGAAACCTTGCTTGCCATTCCCACCACTGATATAGATCCTATAAACCTTCCATTCTGCACCCGGAGCATCAGCCGCAACTTCTGTGTTCACACATTTCCGATAAAAGGTATGAGGTTTATATTCCTCATCCACTTCAATTAGTTTCTGGCAGCCAGTAGCTGGGAAAGAAATATTCAGCTACACCCTGAAGCAGCCAACCACCTCCAAGGCACCACAAAAAAGAGGAGAGAAAAGTGTTTCTGGGGGTAGAAGAGCTCTTGGCTGATAAGCTTTAATAGTGGGCCTGTCTTGAGGAAGAAGGGTGACCTACGTAAACTTTGGAGGTGCACTGTGATGCTCACCCTCACTCTCTCCTCTACACCACAGTGTCCTCCACCCCGAGTCTCTCCTTCAGAAGCATCTGGCTGGCTTGCTACCTGCTATTTCTGCTTTTTCGGAAGGGAAGAGCTGGGTGTCCTCCCCTTTCCCAAGGCCACAGTTGTCTGGGCTGGAAGGAAATCTGCTCCCTCCAGCTCCTCTTGCTGTTTGACCCTAGGACTCAGCAGAACACATGGCAAACTACCTAGATGAATCTCATCCATCTCATGTATTCAATGCACCTATTGAGCACCTACTAAGTGCCAAGAACTGGGAATACACTAGTGATCAAAATAGACATAAAGCATAAAGTCTTGTCCCAGTGGCCCTGAGGCTTCAGAAGACCTAAAAAACTGAGGTCTTCTGTATTTATACACATATAGAAATATCTGCAATACCTATAACCAACAAAGGACTCATATTTGAAATAGAGGAAGAACTCCTACAAAACAGACAGAAAGCCTAAGAGAAAACTGCCCCCCAAAGCAGATAAAATACTTGAACAGATATCCAAGTAGCAAATAAATATATGAAACTGTGTTTAACCTCATTGGTTATCAGAGAAATATAAATTTAAACCTCAGTGAAATACCACTATATAGATACCCGAATAGCTAAAGAGTTGAAATCTTTTTAGCTTGACAGTACAGTGTTGATGAAGATGTGGAGCAATTAAAACTCTAAGATACTGCTGGCAGGAGTGTAAATTAACATGAGCACTTTGGAAAATTATTTGATAGATATACTAACACTTAAATATATGCCTACTTGATGACCCAGCAATTCTGCTCCTAGGTATGTATCGTAACAGAAACATGAACATAAGTATACCAAAGGACACAAACAAAACCGATATAGCAGCATTATTCATAAGAATTCCAAACTGGGAACAACCCAAATGTCCATCAACAGAGTAATAGATGAGTAAATTGTGGTATATCCATTTAATGACATGCACAGCAATGAAAATGAATAAGCTGACCGTATCACATTATGCATTAATTTCATCAATATAATATTGTGTGAGAAGCCAGACACAAAATGATACCTAATGTTTTATTTACATAAAATTCAAAAGCACACAAAACCGATCTGTAGAGTTAGAGAGGGAGAGAGGGTGGGGCAGTGACTGGGAGGGGTTATGGGGGGGCGCTTCTCAGCTGCCAGTGATGATCCAGTTCTTGCTCCGGGCGGCAGTTACACGTATGTGTTCACAACTCGTTGACCTGCACACTGAGGCTTTGCACTTTCCCCAGTCTGGTGTAACTTCAATTAATTTTTTAAAAAACCCACAGGAGAGGAGAGCCGTTTTCAGTTGAGGGGGCGGAAAAGGAAGGTGGGAAAGAAATAGGACGGAGATCAAGATTTCCATAGAGGTGGCTGAGCTGTAGCAAGATTAAGAGGGGGCATGAGGACTGTTTAGGGGAGCCGGGCAGTAATTGTCCCCAGCCCCAACTCTAAAGTCTCCAGGTACATCATTCTTAATTCCATACCCAACCTTACAGCCTCTAAAGTAGATCCTCTGGGGTAAAACCCACTGTTTCTGAGCAGCTACTTCTATCTCCAGGCCGAGAAACCCAACGTTGGGAGCTTAAACTGGGGTCCTGAGAATAGGTACTGTGAGATTGCAGGCCTCTCATGCAAATGTCCCAGCAGCTCAACTAGAATAATCCTGAAGACTGGAGTGGGAGGTAGGGACCAGGATGTTTGTGTTGTCATCCTTGTCCAAAGGAAGTACCTGGTTGCTGTGTTCTCCTACTCTCCCCCCCCCCCGCCCCCTCTCTTTCTAAAAAGCAAGCCAAAAGCTTCATGCCCAGCACTGTGCTCTCCTCCCCCGAGGCACATCTCTACTCCAAACCCAATCCAGGGGTCTGAAGTCACGCTTGAATGCCCCCCTGAGCCACTTTCCGGGAGGAAAAGGACAGGAAGGAACCACTGGTCACAGGTTCCACCGATAGAAGGGAAAACTCGAGGGTGGCGGTTCCTTTGTGGGAGAGGTCACACCCCCTGCACAACAACATCCCAAAGAGAAGCAGTACTGAGTTTGTGTTGAAGAGGTGGAGATACCCCAGGGAGGAAGTGGCAAAAGGCTAGATGGGAACACCCCTCTTTGATCCCACAAGGTGCGTCAGGGAAAGTTGGATTTCGTTTAGCCCGAGATGGAGACATCTCTCTCCATGCTGCCACCAGGTTCAGAGGGTCAAAGGAAGCCGGCTTCACTCCGCCCCGACCTCAGGTGGTGTGTGTGGGACCGCAGCCGAGAATCTGACATATTTTCCCTCCCCTCCGCCCATCCCCACCCTTTTCAAGGCCTGGCCTTTTTAAGGCCGGTTCCGTTCGAGCTGAGCCATCTGCTTAGAGGAACGCGAGATGTGGCGGAAGCACGAGGTGACAAAGCAGCTGGAGAGGAGCCGTGACCAAGAACAAGCAAGGTAGGGACGGTTCTTTCCGTGTATGGAGCACGGGGAAGGAGCCCGAGAGCTCCACAGGGTAGTTTCCCAGTCTTCCCGAAGGCCAAAGGCTCAAGGAAACACTCAGAATGCCAGAAAGGTCGCGCACTGGTTCACTGGCGGGCGAGGGAGGCTCCGGATGGCGTGGGTGGGCCCGAGGGAAACAGTACAGCGTGATGACCGCCAGGCAGCGGGAACCCAGGCCGCGGCCGAGGGGCACTGGGACCGGCGCGAGCTCCGCGTGGGGGCACCTCGGGCTCCCAGTTCCCGTCACCCCGCGCACCGGGTTTCCCCGATGCCCCGCCCCTCCGCACAAAGCTAAGAAAGGGGCCGGACGAGGCGGAGCCCGCCCCCTTCTTCACCTCCGATTGGTTGCTGCACTGTCCATCCGGAATCTATTTTTGATGGAGAGGGGGTGCCACCCACTCTGCCCCAGATCTCGTTTGCCACTAGCAGCCAACCAGTCAGGCCCAAGTCCGCGGGCCAAAAGCGATTGGGGGCGAGCGAGCTCGGCCCCACAGTCCCTTGTGCCCCCGCCCCGGCCCAAGGCAGTGTATCCAACCCTCCCAGCCACTTTCCTCTTGTGGAAGCGGAGCAGCGGCCTCGCTGTAACGCAGAGGCGAAATGTAGCGAGCCGGGGGTCGTGGCTGGACGCTTGCCTTGGTTGGGGGTGTGGGGGAGGGGGCACGCTGAGGGCCGAGGAAGACTGGCGAGGAAGAGGAGTGATGAGAAGAGGGGGAACCCTGCACCCCCCAAGACCACGGGCCCCTGCTGCCACTCGCCAGGCGCCCCCCTTCCTCCTAAGCGAGGGGCAGGTCAGTCCCGTTGGGGTGCGCGGCAGGGGTGGAGGGCGGGAGTCCTGGCGCGCAGCGCATTTGTTGAGTCTGAATCTAGGAGAGGCAAAGGAGGACACCCATTTACTTCTTCCCCACCGTTGGTTTGGAGATAGTAAAATGGATCTTTGTGTCCCCTCCTCAGGGCACCCTGGTTGCGTTTTGCTTCTTTTACCCCACGGCCTTAGGCCTGTCCGAAGTCTCTTTACTGGAAGGAGTGGTGTAAGGGACTGGCTTTTCTTCCTGCCAGTCCCCTTTCAGGGTAGGTGGCCTGCGTGGAAGACAGGAGGAAGAGGGAGGGTCAAGTTTTAGCAGACTCAGAAACTTTCCTGGCACAGGAGCGGCGGACTCCCTCCTGCTCAGAGGCTTCCTCCTGGATCTCCAGTGAGTGTCTTTGAAAGAACCGCAGGACTAGGTTAAAGGCGACTGGAAGAGGGGATCCTGGTGACCTGAGTCCATGGGCCAGTTCCTGGAGTTGGACCCACCCTTTCCCAAACTGGAGTTGACTAACTGTGTGTGTTGGGAATAGTGAAGGACCTAGTCATCTTACCTTGGGGAATTCCTTTTAAAGTTATTTTTTAATTTTGTCAGAGTTGTTCTGGTGACATGGAATAGGGTGGGATCAAGGCCTGGGGGGTCCTTTAGGCAAAGAAATGCTGGATCATTACAGCTAAAGAGACATGTACTTGGGAGCAAGTGCATTTTGGCTTATGTTGCTTTGCTTTAATTTTTTTAATTGGTGCTTTTGGGGTATTTGTTTTTAAAGAATTTTAGTATATCCAACTCTCAGTAACCTGGGGAACAGGGGGAACGTGGGAACTGAAATGTGTGCATAATAACCAGTAGTTTTACCTCTCTCTCCTCCAAGCGAGATAACGCCCTTGTCCTATCTGACAAGCTCACAGGGCCCCGACCAGGAGGAGAGAAGTAGAGACAGAGGCCTGGATCCAAGTCAGCGTCTGAGCTTTTTGTAACACTGTTGACTCTCAAGGGCAGGAGTGGGTAGGACTCTGGCTTCTGGCCTTGGTCTGGCAGGCTTGCCTTGTTGCCCTGGGAGTCCTCCTATTTATTTTTTCTCAGGGGCTAGGGCACTTGGGGGGTCTGGGGACCTTCACTCAGTGATCAGATTTCTCCCTGTTTAATTGCCTGGTGTGGCTGTCTTGGGACTGTAAACAATCACGTTGTACAGTGGTGTGCCTGGGAGACCGCATCTAAATAATCCTGGGTTCCTAATGGACATTTAAGAAGGTGTATCCCCAAGACATCCCTGCCCACCCCCAGTTGCTGAAAAGAAAGTGTCAGGTCTCCTGCACAGCATCTTCCCCACCCCAGCTGCTGCCACTGCCTCGATCCCTGCGGGGTGGGGTGGTGCTGATTTTAAGGACTGTGGGCATAGTGCCCGCTAGGCCTCCAGATGATGCGGTGCAAGGATGGTAATTTCAGTGAAAAGGACAAACTCTTCATGCCTGGCTCATGCCCACTTTTATGCCTCCCAATATGGTCTGTCTTTTGCTGTATCACAACACTCTCTTCCTCTTGTCTCCTTCCCACATAAGGTGTTCCACACAGATTCTCGTGACTTGAAGGAGCAGGGATTTGGGGAGCTTCAGGGTCTTCCCAGGAAGGAAGGAAATCTCCAGAAGAAAGGTGAAAGACAACAGACGGTGCCCCAGGACCAGCAGAGCCTGACAAGCTGTGGGGAGCTTAAGGATCCCAGCCAGAGGTGTGGGAAGAAGCCACAGCTCTAGGCCCAGTCTGCCTTCTGAAAGATTTGAACTCAAGCTACTTTTCATGAAAGAAGGGCCACCTCAGAGGGTACCCCAGACTTGGCTGGGCTCTTCCAGTCTGGATGTCCCTGCTCTGAGAAGCCTGCTGCTGAGAACCAAAGAAGATAAGCGGTCAGATTAATTTTCCCCCGGCCCAGCACTGGACGACAGAAATCAGGCATCTGCACCCCTAGGGGCTGGCTGCTGGGTCTAGTGAAGAGTTTCTGGTTTTCTCCAGCTTGTAGTTTCAGTGCTTGATGGGGCTGCCTGTTGGTAGATCAGTTTTTGCAGCGCCTGGTATGAGCAGAGAGCCGTGGGAAGAGGTCCCTCGGCACCCAAACCTTGGTTCACCCCAAGACTAAGTTCTTTCCCGAGTTAGAGAGGGAGAGAGAAAGAAAACGAGAGAGAGAGAGAGAGAGAGAGAGAGAGGGAGAAAAAAGTTTCCCCCTTTCCATCTTCCCTTCCCGTCATGTCCTCTAAGTCAGAGCCAAAGGACATCCACCAGCTGAACGGGACTGGCCCTGCTGTTTCACCCTGCTCTTCAGATGGCCCTGGGCGAGAGCCCTTGGCTGGGACCTCCGAGTTCCTGGGGCCTGATGGGGCTGGGGTAGAGGTGGTGGCGGCGGCGATTGAGTCTCGGGCCAACGCCAAGGGGGTTCGGGAGGAGGATGCCCTGCTGGAGAACGGGAGCCAGAGCAATGAAAGTGACGACGTCAGCACGGATCGTGGCCCCGCACCGCCCTCCCCGCTCAAGGAGACCTCCTTTTCCATCGGGCTGCAAGTGCTGTTCCCCTTCCTCCTGGCAGGCTTTGGGACTGTGGCTGCAGGCATGGTGCTGGACATCGTTCAGGTAGGACCTGCGAAGGGCAGTTCTGACTGAGCCTTGGGGCCACCTTTCCTCCTGACAGAGCTTTCTCCACCTCCCCGGCAGAAGCAGCTGCAGCTTCCAGGAATACTGTTTCCCTTTGGATCATGTCCTCAGTTTCTTCTTGGTTTGGTTATTTACTACAAAAGTCTCAAGGAGACCCAGCAGCCCTGGAGAAGTGGTCAGGGCAGTATTGCTTAACAGAAGCAGAATAGGCCCCAGGGCTCAGGCTTGGAAGAGGAGGGATGGAGTGGGGCTGTCGCCTGCCATTCCTCCAGTCATTCCTCCTAAGCCAGCTCAGTAGGAGACATTTAGATGGGTCTCTTCTTTTGCCTTCACTTGAGGTTTCAAGGATACCCAGAGCAGAAAGCTCAGTTTCAAGTCTCCTCTCCATCTCCCTGCTGGGCAGGAATTTGTCTGGCTGCCAGGAGGGTCTCAGATTAAGCGGGAAGGTTTTTAAAGGCATTTTGGGTTGCTAATCTGCTTGTAACCTTGGCCCGCTCTCCTCCGGGAATGGGGATGGGTACATGCTGTCTGATGCATGCCTTGGGGGGTTGGGTGGGGTGGTGTGATAAGACCTAGAAGTGCTGATTATGTGACATAAATGGGAACAAAATGTAACCAAGGCCTGGATAGAACTGGCCTCTTGGCTCCGCAACTGTCTTCATGAACCCGCCTCGGGCAAAGAGTTCTCTTTTGAGGCTATTGGATAGAATTAAGGATAAGAATAGAATTAAGGATAAGAATCGATAAATTCTGGAAGATAAGAGCCAGGGACGTGCTATGTTAGCACATTGTGTGTTAGCACGTACCCAAATGCAGGTCCGAGAGATAGTTAAAGTCTTCCTGCTAGACAACAGTTTTTGAAGCACAATAAGGCACACAGTGCTTTCTGAAGATACTGCATCGAAGTGAATCATTAGCAGGTATCGAATTCCTGCTGAGTGCTGGGCTCTGTCCTAGGTACTCAGAGAGATACCTAGGCCGGGGGAGATCTTTAGGACCCCTCAGTGCGTCCCTGGCCATGAACCTCAGGGGGATGTAGAGCTCAGCATCCCCTGTGCTAGTCCAGCCCCACAAATCGTGCATGTGGTGATGCAGAGTCCTGCTGGTGGGCCTCCCCGTGCTCATGTCCCAGGGAGCTGGGGGTAGTTGGTCCTTCTTTGACGTGAGTCCTTCGGGAACCGTGCACCTTCGGTTGCTAATGAGGGTGTTGTTTCTGTCATGCCAAAGTGCCCCCTACTGCCTCCTCTCCCCTGTAACCTGTTACCCTGAGGACTGTTCCTCATCCAGGTGAGGAAGCCAGCTTGGAGCTGAGGAGGGCAGCTCGAGCTCTGGATTCCTCTCACCCAGCGGCTGCCTCTCCTCCTTGGGCAGTGAGTGGGGGGTAGTGGGAGAAGGAGAAATGAGACTCGGGTAGCAGTTTCTCCGCCGCTTCTATTCCTTACCTGCGGCCTTAGCTCTCATGTGTAGAGTTTTTGAGCTCTGGTTTGCTGTCTACAAAGGGGTACAGAACCAGGGTCCAGTGGGGAACTCAGAGAGGGTGGTTTTATTTTCTGGATGACTCTGGTATGAGGCGCACATGCCAGGCTGCTGTGCCAGAGCCATAATCATCTCCACTTTGTGGGTAGGGAGCCTGTGACTTGGAGCAGTCAGGTAACTCGTTCTCAGTCCTCCGATTCAGAGCCTGCCTGCACCGTTAACCTCTGTGGCCTTCACCATGGCCACGATTCACCAGATGGTTAAAGATTCCGGGAGGAGTCTGTTCTCTTTGTCTTCCCCTGAGCAGGGTGAACTGAAATCTGGAACAGTTGGAGTTAGATTCTACAGTGAGCAGGAACAAAAGTTCTTAGAGGGCCCTCTGCCTTCCTATCCTACACACCCTGAGAACTCTACAGCTGGAAAAAGCTCTGACATCTTGCCCCACACCCTGCCACCCCCACAAGCCCGAGACATTGAGAAACCTAGGTAGGGAACCTTTGGAGCCTGCCCAGTGTACCCACAGAGGGCCAGTATTTGTCCTTGGTGTGGCACCTGAGCTCACTGCAGAATTAGGTCCAGTCGGTATGGGTGACAATGGTTTGATTGTCTTTGTCCCCCTCCCCCAGCCGCCCTGCCACAGCCGGGCTGGAACAGGCCCTGCAGAAAGCTGCAGCGATATCATGGGAGAGAGCGGGTGCAAAAAGAACAGGGCATGGGACCAAAGGGGGACTTTACTCTGTACCCAGGGGAACAGAAGGGGCAACTGACAATCTCAGATTCAGGAAGAGCAGGATGATTTCTAAGGATTCCCGCCTGCATTCCCCTTCCACGAGCTGAGACGGCCTTCAGAGGGCAGAGTCTGGGAGTGCTGCAGAGACCCGGGCCGTCCGGAGGAGGCGGCTGTAGAGTGTCCGCAGTGTTCCAAGGCAGCTGAGCAGAAGTCCATGTTGGTGCAGATGCTTCGTTGGCTCAGGGCCCCCAATCTTTATCATCCACTGCAGAGGACCCAGTCTCTTCCTGGAAAGCCCACTTTTTTTTTTATCTCCTCTTACCTGCCCTCTACTCACTGTGTACAGCCAGCTCTGCTGGGACGTGAGGGGCTGGCCTACTGACCCAAAGTAGGAAAAGGGTAAATGGACTGTGACCCACTCTAGTTTCTAGTTTCCCCACGGTGGCTGAAAGTTCCTACAGTCTCGTTTGGGAGGAAAAGCAGGGTTGGGCCCGGTGTTGGGACAGAAGGGGTTCGACTATAGTCCTGGCTGCTGCAGGGCCTTATTTTGTCAGCCTTCTGAGGGATGGGGGTGGCAGAAGGTGGTATGTGCACATTCACTGGAGTTCCCAGCTGTGCTGAGACAGGTGGGATTCCTAGGTCCTTATTTTAACTCACTGCTCATCTGCTGAGGATCCCAAGGAAAGTAGACCGCCTTCCCCAACCACCTCCTTCCCTGGCTTTCCTTCCTACTCTGTATGTGGGAGCACCTACAAAGATGAAAGTAGATAGCAAGCATGAGCTTGGGAAAGCGGATTGGGAAAGAGGCATTCTCTCTCTCGTCTGGCCTGCTTTCGTGTCTGGGGCATTCCTGGGCAAGACACTCAGGTCCCGTCTCACTTGACCACCACTTTCTCACACTTTGTACAGGCTCTGTGTCCTGGCATTGCCCTGAGGCCCTTTCCTGGGACAACTAGAGGACACCTTCAGGGTTGGGGAGGGAGGGAGGCTCAGATAGGTGAAGACAGGGCTTACCCTAATCTGATCTGGAAGGTCAACTCCAGTCTCACTTCCCAAGTCCTCCCACAGTCTGTACTTAGAACTTATGTCTGCAGATTTCAGGCTCAAAGTATTGACTGCAACTCTTCCTGCCTGTGACTTCCTTTGTTCCCCATTGCTACCCTCCCAGAAGGGAAGAAGTTCGGGACACAGAGCAGTTGAAGGCAGTCAGAAGTCCATGTATGAGGCTGGAGTCAGTAAGAAGTGGAAGGACAAAGAGGAGGTTCTGGCAGGATCGCTGAGATGATGGCTCTGGGAAAGGGCATGGAAAGCATGGGATTATTTCTGAGTGAAGGTGGGCGGTCTCATCCCTCACCCCCAGAACTTCAGGGGCCAGTGAGCCCCCACCCCCTTAAGGAAGAACTGGAAAAGGGGCTGCATTTTTAAGAAGCACGGAAATGTGTAGATACACCTCCTCATCCCGCCCCCCAGGGGAGCCCTGCCTCCTGGACCTCCCCCTTTCTCATCCCCAGCAGAGCAGGAAGGTGTGAGTGAGGTTTGGCTGGCAGGACTGGCAGGTTCGACTTCAGGGGCAGGCACTTCCAGGCAGGATGAACAAGATGGGTCTGAATTAGGCCAAAGCAGGAAGGGACACACTGTCTGCCCCTGCCACAGACTACGGACCCCTGACCTCAGGGCCACCCTGCTCGCAGCCTGCTTCCGCATCACCAGCATCTCCTCCCAGAGCTCTGTGTGTGCGCGCATGCCCTGAGCTGCATCTTTGAGAGGGTTTTGTGGATAAAGAAAGAATGTGTGTAGGAGTTGGCTGCTCTGACCCAAGTGCCAACTTGCCATTGCTGGGCTAGACTCTGGCTGAGTGAGCTTCCAGGCTGCATCCTGTGTGCATCGAGAGAACTTGCTTGTTCTCCTCACCTGTCTGTCTCTCATCTTAGTGCTGCTAAAACCCCACACCTTCTAGGTCCTTGTGGGTCCTTGCGTAATTAAAGGGGGGCAGGGACTTGGGATGTGCGTATGGTGGCTGCCAGAAGGGCTTAACTGAGCATCATATGTATTTTTTCTTAAATAGTTAGAAAGACGAGCAGTATTCCTTAGAAACAGTTCAGGAACTTGCATACACCTGGAGTATATCTTTCTGGCTCTTCCCCTTAGCCAGTATGTATTCACTACGCAGTATGTATACCTACCTGGAAAACTAAGTTTTTCACAGAGCTGGCAGCCACGGTTTGCAGTGAGGAGGGACTATGAGGCTGTGCTCAGAATGGAGCTTTGAAAGCCCACAGTGGACCACCCTCTGAGGGGAGGGGAGCAGAGGGGATTCTTCTGTCTCTGAAGCTACTTATCCAGTCTAGGTGAGGAAGGAGGAGGCAAAGCAGAGCAAGGCCAGGCCTGCAGGGACCTGGAACCCCAGCGGTGTGTACCAGCATCCAAGAGTAACAGTCCCCAGGGCACATGGGGCTCACTGGGGCCACCTTCTCTGTGGGGTCCTGGGGGCGAGAAGGGATTCAGATCCTCTCGGCCTTTGCAAGGCTCTGACTCTTCCTATGGGTTCCCGAAAGCTCAGCAACTCTTACTGGGGAAGAGGAGCTAGGGAAGGGGGTTTCTGAGAGGGTCTTTCCTCAATAGAGTCCTAGGCCCTCCACCTGTAGGGCCAGGCCAAGGACCCAAGCAGGGGTTCTAGCCCTAATAAGATGAGCCCTTGCCCAGAGCAGGGCCCCTACCCTGCTAGTCATACACACACAGAACTCTTGAGGAGAAAAGGGAGGTCCCTGCCTTGTAGGACTGACCCCCAGTGTCCAGCCTCCCCTGGTCTCTAGTCCTGGCCCATTCCCCTCTGATATTCTCAATCATCTTTTGTTAATTGTGGTTAAAAAAAAAAAAACACGTAGCATAAAATTTACCATTTTAACACCTTTTAAATGTAAAGTCAGTAGTGTTGAGTACTCACGCTGTTGTGCCACCATCAGCACCATCCGTCTCCAGAAACTGCCTTTAGAGATCATCTGATCTTGCCCCTTCATTGTATATTGTATAGCCAGGAGCTTGAGGTCCTTGTACTTATCCGAGTTTGCCCCCGGCCCTTGCGGGGAGGATGTTGGAAAGGCAGCGTCAGGCCCCAGCCCGTGCTGTCCCCCCGGAGGCCACAGGCTGTCAGTCCAGAACATCACAGTGCTTTGCCTCAACCTGCGACCTGCGACCTGAGCGCTTCTGCCTGGTCGCCTGGCCCCACCTCCCTCTCCAAACCTGAAGGCTTTCCATTCTTAAAACAAATAAAGGAACCCACATTGCTGCCAAGGTCAGGGAGGGAGACGCAATTCTAGCCTTTTCTACAAGTCCTTGGTTTCAGTTACAACTAAAGCAGCTTTCAAATAGCCAATCCTGGCTCCTACTTTTTCCTCTGAGCACTAATGAGCATCGTGCTCTCTGAACCTCAGTGTCCTCATGTACAAAACGGGGTTACGAAAAGCCCCTGCCTCACTGGGATGTTGAGAGGGTGAAACATGAAGGGCATGGAAAGCACGTGGCCTACCATAGTCCATTTAGTGGATGTTAGCTGATGGAGCTGCTGGGAAAGCCAGGCCTGGCCGCCCAGGGCCAGCGCCCGCGTCTCCTGCCCGCAGCCCCACGCCCTCTCTGCGGGGGTATACTTGCCTCTCCTAGATCAGAAATTGGGGAAGGTATGTGGGGTGAGAGAGCACAGAGGAGGAGTAAAAAGCCTCTTGCAGACGAGCATTTTGGGTTTAGGGGCCACAGTCTTAATTCAGACCCTGTTTGGAAAGAAAATTGCTATGGCTCAGGCCCAAAACCCTTAGAGATAGAAACCAAACAAACTAATCTCAGCCCTGTGGAGCCCAGCTCTCCACAGCTGAGACAACACTACCCAAGGCCGAGGCCACAGAGAAAATGGACTAAAGGCAGAGGGATCGGGGATTACGATTTGAGAGGGAATCTCAAAAGAATTTGGGGTGATAAGCTACCTGGGGTGACTCAGCTGTGTGGGTCCTCACCGTTCGTTCTCCTTTACCTGGTTCCAAGTAGCAGGCTGAGGAAGTAGAGTCGGGCTAGGGAATCCTGACCCCGGAAGAGGCCCTCCACATCTCCCCTGTTCTGGGTGGCAGGAAGTGGGGGCTCTGTCGTTTGGCGCTCCATGGGCTTGGTTTGGTTCCAGGGTTCTCGGAGGAAAGGTGGCTGGTGTGCTTACTCCCTGCTGATTCCATTTCCTCCTCAAGCCCCTGATCCCAGACTATCTGTTCAACCTTGAAGCCAGCCCCTAGGGTCACTGAAATTCCTGAGATCTGTTTTCACCTTGCAGCATTGGGAAGTCTTCCAGAAAGTGACAGAGGTCTTCATCCTGGTGCCTGCACTGCTGGGACTTAAGGGGAACCTGGAAATGACCCTGGCATCCAGGCTGTCCACCGCAGTGAGTGTCCTGGCTGGGAGGCCTGGGGTGTGCAGAGGACTCGGGGCAGCACAGAGCCAGGCTAGGAGAGCACAGCTGGCCTTTCTCAACTGCTCATGACTGGAGCCTGGGGCTGGGGTGGGCAGGTGCAGGGAGATCCCAGGCTGGGTGTCCTGCTCCTGGCAGGGGCTCCCTGCCCTGAGTGGTTCCCAGGCTCAGTTTCTGGATGTCCCAGAAACTGGACTCTTGCCCCACCCCCTGTTTTGCAGCCTGCCTCGTGACTATTTGTGCAGCTTTGACAGGCGAACATCATGCTGGTCCCTCCACCTGCACAGATGGGGGCCTCCTCTGATCTCCAGCCCTACTCTGCAGCTGGGCCGGAGCAGAGCCAGGCCTTCCCAGCCCCCTTCCCATCCCATTCCTTTTCCCCTATGGCTTTAAAGGAATAGATGAGGAGGAGTGCTCATTGTTCTTACCTCCCACAACCACTTAGGTCAGCCATGACAGTTCAGAGGTGGAACCCCATACAGAGCCCTGGGATGGGAGTCATGAGGCAATAAAACTCAAGAGACTAGGGGAACCAGGTGGCAGGGATGTCCCTACATGGCCACAAGTCTGGAGAAGGCAGCAAGCAGAAAGAAGTGGCAGCCAACCTAGTCTGCCCCAACCTGCCCCGCTCCTGGTCTTTCCCATGCCACCTCGCTCCTTCCTAGACACTCTTGCAGCTGTAGTTCTCCATCAGCAACTAGTCTTTCCTCTCCTAGGACAGCAAGCTGGCGTCAGAGCTCGGGACCCATCAGGTCACTGCAGCCCATTCGGGAATGGGCTGCCCTTGCTCAGTGGCTCTCCTGAGAGGAGGGAAGAGGAGGAGGCTGCCTTAGGAGCCCCCTGCTGCCCCCACCCCACTGCAGGAGCTCAAGGAGCTCTGTCCCTCTCACTCTAGCCCCCCCAGTCCTGCTTCCCTCTGGGGGGCTCATGTTCTGGTCCCAGAGTCTGAGGCCATGTGCACTGCCTCCTGATCTAGGTGGGGTTCTAATGGGCTGAGCTGAGGCCTTTTCCAGCCTGGAGTTCCAGTCCCTGTCCTCCCTCTTCCAGGCCAACATCGGGCACATGGACACGCCCAAGGAGCTCTGGCGGATGATCACTGGGAACATGGCCCTCATCCAGGTAAGAGGGCAGGAGCCGGGGGTTGGGCTGAGCATCCCCCTTGTCCAGAATCTGAAAGCTCAGATCAGCCCCAGCTGGGTCCTAAGTGGAACTCTGGCATCCTGCTGAGCTGGCTTCTCCCAAAGCAGCTTTAGGAGGTAACCAGGTTTCCCAGGAAAACAGCCAATAAACTCCAACATCTGTGTCAGTTCTTGGCTCCCTGTGCTTCAGGGGGCTCATGTGCCCACAGATCAGACTCAGAAGACTACAGTGCTGAAGTGTACTTGACCACCCTTGGCCCCAGGAGGCCTCACAGGTGCTGCACTGGAATCTTTCCCCTTTAGGCCCAGACTGAAGTCTTAGGCGCTGTGGCACTCCACCTCAGTCCCCAGAGGAATGAACACTCACTCATTCAGCCAGTAACATGTGCTAGACTCCTGCAGGGTGCACTGCCTAGTACTAGTGTCTGGTGTGAAACTAAATAAATAAAGACATCATTCCAACTTGGGAGGACTGGACAGTCCCGCCCAGCCTGCCTCCTGGGACTGCTGAGGGCCAGGGAAAGGTCTTGTCTAGTGCTCAGTGGCCTCGGCTGAGAAGCTCGCTGCTCCTGGGGCTCTCTGAGTCACCACTGCCCTCCTTAGGTACAGGCCACGGTGGTGGGCTTCCTGGCATCCATCGCAGCCGTGGTCTTTGGCTGGATCCCTGACGGCCACTTCAGTATCCCTCATGCCTTCCTGCTGTGTGCCAGCAGCGTGGCCACGGCCTTCATTGCCTCCCTGGTACTGGGTAAGGAAGAAAGGGAAGGGTCAAGGGAGGTGGGAGGGCTGCCCCAGACATGGCAACTAGGCCTGGTACCCCCCAGTCTCTCCCTTTGTTGCCACCCCTTTGTCTGTTCTTACCCTTCCTGGCCTCTCCCCTTCCTCCCCAGGTATGATTATGATTGGGGTCATCATTGGCTCTCGAAAGATTGGAATCAACCCAGACAATGTGGCCACTCCCATTGCTGCCAGCCTAGGTGACCTCATTACCTTGGCTCTGCTCTCAGGCATCAGCTGGGGACTCTACCTGGAGCTGGGTGAGGCTGAAGCTATCGAGGGTGTGGTCCCGGTGGACTCTGGGTGGGATTAGGAGACTGGTGATGTGTGTGCAAAGGTGTAAGCATTTCTTATGCATTCGTTATTTGTTTGGAACACAGCTGTAGGTTCTCCCCGCCTTAGAGAGATGCGGCTAAGCGCTTACTCAAGTTCACGCTTGCAGCAGGGCAGGGGGATGTATTTGAGGAATGTGTATGTTCCTGCTGGGTCCTGTGGCTTCTTGCTTCCCTTGGAGGGGTATGGTGGGGAAGGTAAAGGAAAGTAACTGAAGGCTGGAATCTGCTTGTAAAATAAAGAAGGGGAGGGGAGATGGTGATTTCTGGGGATCAGAGCAAGAAACCTAGTATCTGGTCTCCACCCCCTACGAGGCCAATGTTGGGGTGCTTTCCCTTGGTTTTCTCCTCTACAGAATGAAAAGGCCGTCCCCACCCATCTCCCGGGCTTACAGTGAGGGTCAGATGAGGCCACATGTTTTTAGGCCTTCAGTGTAGTGTTGCCGTTGATCTGTTGGGATGTTGGCAGGCTCAGCCGAGGAGAGGTTGGGAGCAGGGAGCCACAGTACTCACCACCCTCTGATATCTGCTTCTCAGGTAACTGGCAATACATCTACCCCCTGGTATGTGCCTTCTTCGTGGCCCTGCTACCCGTCTGGGTGGTGCTGGCTCGACGGAGCCCATCCACAAGGGAGGTGCTGTACTCGGGCTGGGAGCCTGTCATCATTGCCATGGCCATCAGCAGGTAGGACCCGGCCTTGGGTACATACCTCCACCTTTTCCACCTGCCAAAGATTCCCTTTTAAGCCCTGAAGATAGGGAGCATAGTGCAGACCCTGGAGATGCCTTCAATAGTGTATCAGTCACATGTCCTTCTATTGCAAGTGACAGAAACCATCAGAAATTGGTTTCATTGAAGATGAGAATATATTGACATGGGGAACTAAAAAGGCACAGCTGGATTCAGGAGCAGAAATTTTATCATCGGGCCCCAGTATCTCCATCCCCTGGCTCTGCTTTCCCTCATGCTGGCCTGCAGTTCCAGGTTTACACTTTTCTATTTTTACTAGTTTCAGTGGTAAGAAAGAATCTTTCAACAATTTCACAAAGTCCCGTTTTAGAATTTCATTGGCTCTTCTTCAGTCACATGACTATTCCTGAGCCAGTCACTTTGGCCATGGGGATGTAATGCTTTGATTAGGTGAGTTTGGGGCCTAGGCATCATTGGAGTAAGGTCACGTGAACCACAGCGACTGAGTTTGAGAGAGGCCATTCCCTGAGGAAGAGCTCAGCACTGTCACCAGAAGGGGAAATAAATACTGAGCAGGCAGAACAGCCAGATTCTCACAAGCAAGTCACCCTGTTGGTGGCTCCTCTAGCCAGCCTGGGAGGTGAGCACCACCAGCTTGCTTGGGGAGCACCATGACAGTTATGAGCAGCAGCTGGTTCTGATAAAAGATACCAGGACTGGAGGACAAGACTCCTAGAAGCCACCTTGCTTCCCTTCCTGCCCAAGGTCAGGTGGGCCTGTCCCTCACATCCCAGGGACTGGAACAGAGCCCTTTAATGGCTTTTATGTCATTTTGTCTTTGCGTCTATGTAGTGTGGGAGGCCTCATCTTGGACAAGACTGTCTCAGACCCCAACTTTGCAGGGATGGCTGTCTTCACACCTGTGATTAACGGTGAGGTCTTGGTCTCAGCTGCCAGGGGAAAGAAGACGGGAAAAGAGGATTTAAGAGGCTTTGTATCAGTCAGCGTTCTAGCAGCAAAGAGAATCCTGCTCAGTTAGTTCAAGACTTGAATGAAGGGTCTGCTCCCAGAAGTGGGAGCAGGGTAGAAGAACCAACCAGAGACGTTAAGGCACCCAGAGATTGGCCACAATAGGAAGCCCTAGTCCTTAAGGGTCCAGGGGAGAAAACAGTGTCACAGAAGCCCGGAGAGAGCCCTTCTCTGTCCGCAGCAGGGGTAAGCTACTGCCATAAAGCAGAAAGGGATCATGGAGGAAATACCTTACCTGTCTCTCCTCCCACCCTCTCTGATCACCTGCTGATGCCTCCCGTTGAACAAACCCAGTTAGATACAGTAGCACGGGGGGCAGGGTAATACAGTCTGCAGAAGCCAGCCTCACAGGGCTCAGCACAGGGAATACATGGCAGGGGTGGGAGGGATGGCAATAACTGCAAGCATGGTTCCTGGCCAAGGCACTAGATTACAGAGCACAGAGCTCAAACCTGCTACCGGGCGTTGGTTACTGGGACCAGTGCATGAGCACTGGGTGCCTGGATCTGCTCAGAGCTCTGGAGAGGGGCTGGGGCAGTGCAGGGCCTTGTCCCCAGGTAGTGTGTGACAGCACATGCACGCACTACACTGCTGGAGAAGTCGGACCCCTGAGCCTGCAGATCTGCCTGCCTGTGTCCTGACTGCCACGTCTCCACAGCAGGAAGGACGGGAGCAGCCTGGGAGAGTCCCTGTGGTGCGGGGTGGGGTACCTTCCTCTTTCTTTTTAATGTCTCACTCTTCTCTTAGGGAATAGTGAATGGGTCAAGCCCTCCCGACTCATCCCTTCCTCCATGTATAAAGTCTTTTGTCTCTCTGCAGGTGTTGGGGGCAATCTGGTGGCCGTGCAGGCCAGCCGCATCTCCACCTTCCTCCACATGAATGGAATGCCAGGGGAGAACTCTGAGCAAGCCCCTCGCCGCTGTCCCAGCCCATGCACCACCTTCTTCAGTCCTGGTAATGGCAGAGTCCCAGCCTCCTAGGTCCATTGCAGCCCTGGAGGGAGGGGCTCAGCAGTCAATAAACTTCACTAAGGAACAGCTGGGGGATAAAACAACTATGGTACATTTACACAATGGAATACTACTTGGCTGTAAAAAGGAGAAATTTGACCCTTTGCAATAGCGTCGTGGATGGACCTGGAGAACATTATGCTAAGTGAAATAAGCCAGTCAGAGAAAGATAAATACCATGTGATTTGACACATATGTGGAATCTAACAAGCAAACTGAAGGAGCAAGCTATAAAGACCAACTCATAGATAGAGAGCAGACCAGCAGCACTGCAGAGGGGAGCATTAAGGGGCAGAGGGATCAAGCCAAAAAGGGAAAGGACTCGTGCCCACAGACCACAGTGTGGTGAATGTAGAGGGAGGGGCGATGATTGTAAAGGAGACAAATGGTAATGGGGGAAATGCAATAAAAATAAATAAATATTTATAGGGTTAAAAAGAAAGAAAAGAAACAGCTGGGCCTGGGTACACAGGTCCTTTTTCTCTGCGGGACCTCACCAGCTGTTGTGAGGGAGATCACAGGCAGGAAAGCTCTCTTCCCGAGATGACCAGAGGCTGGCCACCTCAGGCCACGGAGGTTAGAGGCAGGCAGCTGTCTGCCACCCTGGAGTATGGCATGGTATCTCCCAACTTTGAAAGGCTTCTGGGGCCAGGATGCCTCTTCACCCCTTCTCTTCCCCGGTTCCAGATGTGAATTCTCGCTCGGCCCGAGTCCTCTTCCTTCTTGTGGTCCCAGGACACCTGGTGTTCCTCTACACCATCAGCTGTATGCAGGCCGGGCACACCACACTCACACTCATCTTCATTGTCTTCTACATGACAGCGGCACTGCTCCAGGTAGGACTGCAGGGGCACCGGCGAGGTGGGGCTGCCCTGCAGGGGTGGGAGGGATGGGAGGGGCGGCCCAGGCTTGGCCCGTCAGACGCTCTGCACCTCTATCTGTGGGACTAGATGACAGGTCAACACGGGGCAGGGGCTGGGGAGAACAGTGACTCCAGTGGAGTCACTAACGTGCAGTGTGACTTTAGCCCCAGTGGTAGAGTCATCTCTGAGTCCAGTGATATATTTGTAAGCTGAGAGGAATGAACCAGGGTAGAGGTTTGCAGGCAGGTGGTTGTGGGTCACTGAGCAGGTGGGTTTTGGCCACAGAGCTCCACTTGGCTCTGCTTTGCATGCTGGGCTTCCTTGGGATATCCCTGTGGATAACGGTTTCACAGCTTAGGGGAGGGTCAGAACTGCTCCCTAGATAATCTGTAGGGTCTGGTTCAGCCCTGCCATTCTGTAGGACTGTGACACCTTTCCCTTGTTGTATTATTACATTTATCAACATTTTGTTTTGAGAAAATTGTATATTCACAGGAAAATGGGGAGAAAATACACAGAGAGGTCCCATGTACTATTCGCCTGTTTTCCCCAGGGGTAACCTCTGACGTAACTACAGCGCAAGGTCAAAAGCAAAAAACCAACCCTGATACAACCCACAAGGCTTCCTGAGGTCGCAGCAGTTGCACATGCACTCGTGTGTGTGTGTGTATCACATGTAGTTGTATCACAGCTTTGTGCAGTTGTATCACATGTAGATGCAGGTAACCACCACCGTGGTCAAGACAGAACTATTTCATCAGCACACGGCTCCCTCACACTCCCCCTTTACAACCACACGCACCCTCATCATTACATTTTAAATGTCTGTAGATTTGTGTTTTGGATCAGTAATAACAGTCACATTACAATTCAAAATGTTTTAAAAGGCTCATAGTGAAGCCTCAGTGAGAGGCCTTCTCTTCTGCCCACCCCCCAGCCACCCGGTTCTCCTCCTCACAGGCCATCCGTGGATCCATTTCTTACCTACCCTCCAACTCTTTCATATTTATACAAGCAAACATGTATTTTTCCTCCTTTTTAAGTTTTTTTAAAGATTTTATTTATTTTTAGAGGGAGGGAGAAAGAGAGGGAAAGAAACATCAGTGTGTGGCTGCCTCTCGCACACCCCACGCTGGGGCCTGGCCCACAACCCAGGCATGTGCCCTGACTGGGAATCGAACCAGTGACCCTTTGGTTTGCAGGCTGGCACTCAGTCTTCTGAGCCACACCAGCCAGGGCTCCTCCTTTTCTACATACAGGTAGTCCTGCTTTTTTCACATAACAGTTCATCTTAGAGATTATCCCGCATCGATGTGTAAGGAGAAAAACACCCTGGTTTTGTACAGCTGCATTCTATTCTGGTACAGATGTGTGCCCTAATTCTGTTTAGCCAGTCCCCACTATTGGCAGTCACTTACCTTTCAGCCCCTCACCACCACCTTGAGAAAGGTGGTGTGTTGGGACTTCTTGGCAAGGACAGGGCTGAGAATGAACCAATCAACAATATGCTGTTTCCTCCAAGCAATTACCCAGGTCACCACGTTCTCTTCTTGCAAGTGCATTGGTGGGAAAGAGGAGGGTCTGTCGCTAGAGGTTAGCCCTTGGCCTACGTTGGGAAGGATAAGCCTTAGCTCCATTATCCATGACAAACATGCTGGGGGGACACCGTCACCTCTGCTGTCTTCTTTAGGCCTGTGACGGTCCAGAGCTCGGCACTTACTCCCCACAAAAGCTCTTCCTGACCCGTTGCTGCCTCCTCTCAGTCGGGTGTTCAGGGCCTGCTCAGGAGGCTGAGTGCCGAGACAGCTCCCATTCTCTTCCTGTGCATGTCCGGAAGTCCTCCTGCTGGTTCTTTATTTGGGGCTCTTCTGAAGCTGCTGGAAAGGGTGCGAAGTTACTGGGGGTGGGGGTCCACCGTGTGCTGGTCAGAGGGGAATGTGAAGGGTGCTAGAACTATAGCTTCCGGCCCCCTGCTAAGAAGTCAGGAAAACAACCAAATTTGCCTAAAAATATCAGTTCTAGCTTCTTTATCCCCCAAGACCCTGCCTCTGTGCTCCTTAGGGCAGGATTAATATACCACAGGATTTGCAAAGGGCAGTCAAGGGTAACAACTCCCAGATGACTGTTGGAGCCTTACTGCTAGCAGCCATTTCATTCTCGCACAGGTGCAGTCCTTTGGGGGCCCACGTGTCAGGGGTGGTGCTGAGCATACAGATGATGCGGGTCTGCCCACTCACCCATAGCATCTAGATGAGGTGCATTTCCAACTTAAAAAGTGTGCGTGAATCTTGTCGAAACCCAGGTTCTGATTTAGGAGATTTGGGGAAGGTGGAAGTGGGTGGCTGAGCCTCTGCATTCACACAAGCTCCCAGCCACCACTGACACTGCTAGTCCTGGGCCCACCAGCAAGGTTCTCACCTACATCTTTCTTAGCTGTTTCTAGTAATGGAGGGAATGCAAGGGCACAGGTAAATCAAAGCACAACACAGTTCAAAATGTCTTCTGAAGTGCTATGTACTGTCCACTTTCAGTGTAGCAGACTTGTTCATAGTTCTGTTTTGGTAGGACTCACATTAAATCACACTTGCGTTCTTGGGGCACGCAGCAGCAGCAGCACGGAAAGGGTCAGGAGGAAGCCAGCTTTGGTTAATCAGTTGCTGCTCAGCCAGCTGCACCGGCAGGAGCCTCGGATGGTGTCCTTATTCCCTCAACTCCTAGCAGGAATCCCTCCGTGAAAAGCTAACCTCAGCCCCAACCCCCAGCCAGGCTCCACCATCGCAGGAACTGGAGTGACCCGAGGATAGGATGACCTAGAATTAGAGACAAGAGAGCTGAGTTCCTGCAGCAAGGGGGAAGTTTGGTCAGGAAGCCCCTCGTTTGGTAAATTTGGGAGCAGAATGTAATGATGATGTGGGTGACCCCAGAAGTGCAGCATCTTCCTTTCTAAAGGGCTTGCATTATACCTGTCATCTGTTCAAGGTGGTAGTTGTTGGGTGGAGGAACACAGAGAGGTCACCCTTTGGAAAGTTGAGCTGTCCCCGCATCAGGACTGTGGAAGGCCAAACCCTGGGACGCATGAACGGGTCTGATGGTGTGGCCTCCGGCTTCCCCTGGAGCGGGGCCGGCCGCAGGCTGAACCCTTCTGTCTCTGCAGGTGCTGATTCTCCTGTACATCGCAGACTGGATGGTGCACTGGATGTGGGGCCGGGGCCTGGACCCGGACAACTTCTCCATCCCGTACTTGACAGCTCTGGGGGACCTGCTTGGCACAGGGCTCCTAGCACTCAGCTTCCATGTCCTCTGGCTTATTGGGGACCGAGACACGGATGTTGGGGACTAGCCTGGTCACTCAACCTTCTCCCCACCCTCTGCACTTTCTCCTTGAATTTTGTCTTCTGTTCCCCTTCTTCCACCCACTCCATACCCCCACCTCTTTTTAGGACTTCACCTTGATACCGAATTCTCATTATTTTCAATGGGAATTTTTATACATTGAGCCAAGTTTGTATAGCAAGTATTCAGGCAGGACGGATGGACTGAGACAGCAGGACAAGTAGATTTTGAGACAATCACCAAGTGCAATTTCATGGTGGGTGCCTCCAGATGAGGTGGATTGGGGCAGGGGTTTCCGTCTGGAATCTGGGGACACGCTTTAGCAAACTTAGTCTTGGACCTAATGAGAAACCCTTTCTGAGTGGGCTCTGGTGTTTTTGTTTTCTTTCTCTCTCTCTCTCCCCCCCTTCTTTCTTCTTGAACAGAGGGCTACATTTCACTACCCCCCCCCACACCCATACACTTCTTCTAGAAAAGGACCAACTTCAAGGCCGGAAGCAGGAGACTGCTGCTGTTGGCTCCATGTAACCCTAACCCTGTTCTCTGCCCTCTGGACCAAGGCCCTTCTGCTCTCAGAAAGGGTGAGGTGCACTGACTCTTCGAGTTGTGCACATGCCCCTTACCCACTTGCCGGGTAAGCACCACTAACCCCTCCCAGTCATCTTTTTGCAATAGATTGTCACATTCAGGAAGAAATGAACAGTGGCCTGGTTTCCTTGTTGACCCACATTCACCCATAGGTTTGCCAAGAACTATTCTATTCTCTCTGGGCCCAGAGGACCAATTCTTCATCTCTGTTCACCTTCATCTCTAACCGTCTCTAAGCACTACCTACCCCAGAGCTTGCCAGATTGGGCTCCGAGGTTAGGGACAGGAATGGGTATGTGGAGAATGTTAGGAGGTTGAGGGCAACCAGGGGTGTCTCGTTGCTGCTGCCTTTCCTGAGGACACATGGTCATGTGGTCCCCTTAGACTGTCACCTCCTGAAACCCTGCATTCTGTCATGTCATGGAGGTCAGTTGTCCTCTCTCTCGGCTTCTGCCCATATTCACCATTCATTCACTTACTCATTCAGCAAGTTCACAGCCCCTCCGAGAGGAGGGCTTCTGTAGGCACGGTCTGGAACATTCACTGAGCAGTAGTTACTGAGTGCCTATGTGTTAGGTACTGTACCGGGCACTGACTAGCCAGTGGTAAGGGAAATACAGCTCCAACCTCACCCCATTCCCCAGATGAAGGCCACATGCTCCTTCGAATCTGGCCGAAAAAGTGCCAGATGCCTTGCTGCGTTTGCATCTGTATCAGCAAGCCAGGTTCTGCCTCTGGATCTCCCTCCAAGACCCCACCTCTGTAAAATGCTGACTGCAGCTAGAGCCCCCAGCCCCATGGCTCAACCAGTGTTTATTTCTCTGAATCACCCTTCCTCACCTTCCCCAGCCTCCACCTCTCCTCACCAGCCCCCCAGAAGGGGGTTCAGAGCTAGTAGACTAGCTATCCGCTAGCTGCCTCTGCTTTTCTCTGCCTAGCACGAGGCTGGGAGGACACTGGAGTCTCTGTATCTTACCCACATGTTACTCTGAACAGATCGGAAGCCTGTCCACACTCACACATGTACAAACCTGGGTGTTTGGATGCAGGGTTTTTTCTAGTCTTATCTACAGCCATCCCAGAAACCCTCCCCTCTGTCCCCTAAATGACCCACTTCAGGGGAAGGCCAAAAAATGACCTTGTCTCTTACCAACACCATGCCTTGTCCCAGGAACTTGCCCTATACTTCCAGGTTCCGTCTCCTCTCTCCCTCCATTTCCACCCAGGCCACCTAGTGGAGTCTAGAACCTTAGAGTTGGAAGGAATCGTAGAGGTTACCTAGTTGGAGCTGTGTCCAACAGAGTTCATTAACACCAGCCTGGGCTTGTTTCGGCTCCTTGGGCCTCGTGTCTTGTCTCCCACCTCCAAACGTGTTTGCACACAGGCTCTTTTTGTACAGGCACCAACACCAACTCCTCTGCCCCTGCGGCTGTGCCCTGTGGTCCCCAGTCCCTCCTGCCCCCGTCACACCCTTTCCTTATCTCTGGAGTTTGGCCAGGCTTCCCCAGAAGACTCTGGAGCATCTTCCCTTGCCAAAAATGCCGGAAGGCAGGCACGCCCCCAGCCCTGAATGTGTGAGCAGGAGGGCTTCGGAGCGAGAGGGCAGGAGAGTGGAGTTGGCTTTCATGGGAGACTCATTTCTTTTCCCCTGACTGCACAGACTGCATGTACTTCAGCCTGGCTGCAAGGAGCGACATTGGTTTACTCTCGTATCCTTAAAAAGTTACAGAATTGTGTCTTAAGAGAATTATTTATAGTTACTATAACTGAATTGACAAATGTCAACATAACTGATAAATTATATTTGGTAAATAAAGAGGACGTTTATTTAGCTGGTTGGTGGTTCTTGTGTGTGTCATCGAAAAGCTTCGATGTTTTGGGCCCCTCTGTAGTCCCACCTCCTTCTCACTCAGACTTGGGAAGGGGCCAAAGTGTGACGAGAAATGAGATGTCTCTTCAGTGCAGAAGAAACAACCAGTGGTGTTTGGATGTATTCCAGAAGCCGAGGCAGTGGCCCCAGCTGGGGCATCATGCCAAGGGGTTAAGATTCTTTCCTCTCAGAGTCTTACAATCTGGTTGAGTCAAAATAATAGCTGCTATTTGTTGAATACTTAACATATACCTTCACTGTGCTTGACCCTATGAGCCCTTAGAAATTTACAATTGACTGCAAAGGGTTTGAAATCAGGCCCGGGTTCAAATCCCAGCTCTTCTGCTGCTATGTTCGTGGGGCCTTGGGCAAGTTATTTACCCTCTCTGGGCTTCAGTTTCCTCGCCTGCACTAAAACCTGTTTCTGAGGGTTATTAGGAGACGTTGCTGAGCACATACTAAATCCAAGAGTGCTAGTCAGTGTCGAAGTGAGAGGGAGGGAGGCCAACGACCGGGTGGTGCAGCACACTGACCATAGGTGTAAATTAAGGATGGCTACAGGCACAGGTGGCTGGGAAGGACACTGAGCCAAGTGTTGAGGCTCAGGGAAGTCTGGGAGGAAGTGTGGAAGAACAGGAGTGGGACAGTGGGTGAAGAAAGAGCCACTTGTAGGAATGATGAGCAGGGAAGCAAGTCTGGTTCTTTTGAGAACTGCAGAGAGTTCCATTTGACTGGAGCTTGGAGGACAGAGGGCAGCGACTCCAGACCTTAAGCAGCGACCGCATGTCGGCCCCACCCAGGGCCGACTTGGAAGCCTGTTCTGGGAACCCCTGGGCCCAGGACATGTCCCCCACGGGACGTGTGACAGTATTTGTAGCGTATACTGAATGCTGAGCACTAACTATCTCAGTAATCAGACTTTTTTCCCAGCTTTATTGAGGTATAATTGACAAAATTATAAGGTATTTAAAGTGTATAAGGTGATGATTGAATGTACATTGTGAAAGAATTCCCCCATGGAGTTAATTAACACATTCATTACTTTACACATTTGTCTCTACCCCCTGTTTTTTTGGTGAGAGCATTTAAGAAATCGGCATTTTATAACAAGCCTGAGCTCTTGGACTAACTCTTCAAAGCGGCAATATATTATAAGGCTGTTAAGATTTAATGGAAGGAGGACTATTGTATGTTGATTATTGTTTATATGTTTTAGTATACAGTATATTATACTTTTGCATAATAGCCTCATTTACAACTTCAAAAGCATCTCTACTAATCACAAAGTAGATCTCACCATCTTCCGAGGGAGAAACTGAGGCTCAAGAGGAGCTCAGTGTCTTGCCCACGGTCCTGGGTTCACACCCAAGTTTCTCTCAGCCCAGGACCTTCCCACGATGCCTGAAGCTGGGTGGAACTGCTGGCCACGATCCCCCTGTATGCAGAACACAGACACAGTCCTGAAATGGTCAGAACACGGAGCCTGTGTGTTGCCTTAGTCTTGCTCATGAGACACCTTGAATTACTGCAAAATGTTTATTGTCTACAGACGGAGCCAGTATCTTCCGGTGGACATTTAAAAACATGTCTCCCCAATGCCAGCCTATCTCTGCTGATATTTTTGCAACATAATTATAGGCAACACCGGCCAACCCTGAGATCAGCCAGCTGACAGAGTCCTCAAGTTTGTTGTCTCCTTCAGCTAAAATTCAGAAGCGAAATAAAGCACAGTATAGTACTGTTTACTGCATGACACTGTATCATATTACATTAACTAAATATAAGCTTCCAGGAAAATGTGTGGCTTGGAAAATTTTTTTAAATGTTCTAAAAACCCTAAAACTACAAAACAGAAATTGCGAGAAAAAAAAAATGAGAAGAGTTTGTCTAGCTAGAAAAGATTTTTTAAACATAATTTGAAAGACTTTATGGCTATATTCATGTTTAGTTCAGCATGGGTAACTAATACTCTAGCTACTGGTGATATTTTTTTAAGTGAAAAATAATTCCAAATAAGTTTACATGTGTTATATTCAGTGCACGGCATTAATTCCTTCTTTTGAACATATTAGAATAAATTCCTTATCTCTACCATAGTAGAAATTATTTTCTCTTAGCTCCTATCAAAGACAGTTGAACAAGCACATAGGGGACATTGCTGTAAGGGAACTCCAAACTGCAACCTGCCCGGGACACCCATGTTTGTCTGTCCCCCACTGCCACAGACTGTCGCGTGAGTTTCAGTTACATTACCTAATCTGTTGAGTACCTCAAAAATTATTCTGAAATGAGGTATTTGGTATGTAGGAGTTAGAAATCCATGGAAATAGCCCTGCCTGGTGTGGCTCACTGGATTGAGTGCCAGCCTGCGAACCCAAGGGTCTCAGATTCGATTCCCAGTCAGAGCACATGCCTGGGTTGCAGGCCAGGTCCCTGGCTGGGGACATGCAAGAGGCAACCACACATCAATATTTCTTTCCTTCCCTTTCTCCCTCCCTTCCCCTCTCTAAAAAATAAAAGCTTTTAAAAAAATTAGAAATTCATGGAAAGATAAAGTTTTCAGAGAATAAATGACCTACCCCAAGTATCAAATATGAAATATAAACTCAGATCTCCTGATTGCCAGGCCCAAAACCAAACCATCCTTATATACAGGCTCAGGAAAGTAGGAGGGAGATGGCACCATTGCCTGAGAGGAACTACTTGGGGGAACCACTCCCAAAGCAGGGACACAGCTCCTGACCCTCCTTCCCTATGGCCGCCACGCTATGGTGGACAGGACCATGTGTCGTGTGGCCCCCACACGTCTGTGTTCTCCATCTCTTGCTTTGCTTAGCATCTAAGTTATCTTTTTCCTGTATCAGGGTCAACACTGGCAGCCTGAACCCTCTGGGACACCACAGAGCCTTGTAAGAATTCCGCTCCAACCAGACGCGGCTGCCAGGCTGCCTTCTCCAAACAAAGCAGGTTTTTTTGTTTTTTTGGTGTTTTGTTTTACCTCAATAAATAAGAATCTGGCTGATATCCCCTTTTGGAAGGAGGAAATTCTGAGAACACACTAAGAATGCTATACTCAGGTTCTCAGAAGTCTCTCTGCTGTCTTCATGCAGTTTAATTTTAAAAATAATAACAAAATGCCCTGGCTGGTGTGGCTCAGGAAATCGAACACTGGCCTGTGAACTGGTGGGTTGCTGGTTCGATTCCCAATCAGGGCACCTGCCTGGGCTGTGGGCCAGGTCCATGGTTAGGTACATTCCAGAGACAACCAATTGATGTTTCTCTCCCTTCCTTTCTCTCTCCCTTCCCCTCTCTCTAAAATAAATAAATTAAAAAATAAATAAAGACAACGATCAAGTACAAGCTTTAGAGGTAGACAGACATAGATTTGAATCCCACCTCTCTGAGCTGGTGGCCATTATTAGCCTCTTCTGACCCCCAGTGGTCCCATCTGCAGAGTGGGACAATAATGCCTTCACAATGGGGCTGTGGGACATGCAAAAGATTTAAAAAATGTAAGCTTTATTATTATTGTTATTGTTATATAATGTTGATTGAATTGGTAGTGGTAGCAAAATGAGGAGAGAAATACTCAGAATTTACAATTTGGGATGATATGAAGGAACTAGTGGATGAATAAATGAATGGACCTGGACAAGCCTTGGATTCTACTCATCGGTGACAAGGGCGCGGCCAAAGGTGGACAAAGCTGTGCAGTGAGGAAGGCCAGCGGCTTCATAGGTAGGTCTCCTTTGGGTGAGTGTCCTGTGACTCGGAGCCGGCCTCCTCCATTTGGACCCACAAATTCACAGAGGCCTGCGCATGAGCCCAGACGGCAAGTGGGCCCAACAGACGTGGCGGCCTGACCAGCACACCCACTTCCCGGAAGCAGCTGCACAAGAAGGCAGATGCTCAGAAGGTGCCTGGAGTGTTTGCAATTCTAACAGAGATGTTAGTTCTATAACTTGAAAACAGAATGGCATCAGGCCCTGTTAGTCGGCTGCATGAGTCTCCTTGTTTCCCTGTAAGACTCTGGACTCTGTTTGGACTCGGTGTGGCCGCGTTCTCTCAGCAGCTCCTGTCTTTGCTGCCGACCAGCTTCCCTTCAGATCCACACGTTCCTTCTTAGATATGGTTGTACATTCACCCAGTCCAGTCTGGTGCCTGGGCACCTCTTGCTAATGCTGATTTAGAGTTGAGCTTAAGAAGGCTGGGAAGACGATGGTGTTTCTAGTTCTTGGGGGATGAGGGTGTCGGGGGTGACTAAGATGGCCTATAGATACAATAATCTTTGCCATTCTCTCCTCTTACAAAGTTCGAAAGATACGGGAAAGCAGAACAGAATCATCTGTGTTGAATGGGAACACCTTCATTTTACAGGTGGGACTTCCCCAGTGCCACACTGACAGTGGGACCACGCCGTTTTTTGTACCGCAATTTCCCCTCTCGCTTCCACCCTTTTCCTTCTTCTTTCCCTGCTCCTTATTTGGGGTGGAAAGAAGGTGTATCCATGGAAGAAGGCAAATGTGGCAACAAAAGCTGGAAAAACTAGAGTTTGATGTTTCTCCTAGGTAATCACAGGCTCAGAGCGAGCCCCCAACTCCTAGGCAGGGCCCACAGAGAAGTGATCCGCCAGCTGCTCGGCCAGCCCTGTCTCTGCAGAGCTTTTCCCAGGGCATGTTCTACTGAGCCTTCCGGCTGAATGCTCAGCTGGGTCACAGCATCCCACCAAACTGCCTCCTGTGCCCAACACAATCACTGGGAAGCTGAGATTATTTCAGTGAGCCTGGAGTTTGGGGCTGATGGCTATAGCCCTCAGCCTCACCCTTCTCCGGGGTCATCCTGCTCCATGCTGCCCGGCCACTTGCTGTGTCACTTCAGTGTCCATTTGACGTTACAAAGCACCTTTCTGCTCTGTGGGCAGACAGTGCTGGAGGCTCTGGAGATCTCATACAAGCTCTTTC